GACTCAATGCCTACCACGGTTCATTTTGTGAACACGATCAACGACTTTCTAAAAAAATCAATTTATTTTTCATCTAGGCATATGCATTTGAATGGATCTATGTTATCGTTGCTTAATCTTTTCAGATAGTTGGAATTTCAAAGATTAGCATGTACCGAATTTATAAATGCTGAAAGCATCTAGTTCATTTTGTACCCTCACAACGGTCTCTCGCAAAAACAGGCTGCTATATAATTGGTGATCCTTGCAAGCTTCATTTTGCTCTTCGAAAATGGGCTCCTGCTGTCATATTTTCGTCTCTCGTTGTATTCATTTGTCGGCTCTAGAATGCTTCGTAATCGACACTTCTCACTACACATCAACTAGACTTTGCTTTTTTTATGACTTTTAAGCCAAAACAAAGTTCGAACTTCCTGGTAATCATTTCTGAGCCATGCATGTGGTCTGTTATGGCCACTTATTCAACGCACAAAAATGCTATCAAGCATATTGAGCTTTGAGCGTGGTTTCAAGAAACACTTGGAACGAAAGGTATCAGATTCGAATAGTTGAACTGCACGTGTGCCTTGTTATAGCTCCTAAATGTTTCACAATGTTATGGCCGTTGCCACTAAAATGCTTCGTCATTAGCGAAATTGTCAGCCTACTTTGTTTGAATTACGCATTGAACCTTTTCACGTCCTATAGAACATGTGAAAATTTCCTTGGATAAGAAAGCATTCCATTCTAACATTCTTTCACGATTATTTTTTTCTTCAGAACTCGCGTGGTTAAGTAGCAACAACTTATTCTCATTAAACCTTTCAACTTCCATTCATTTCAAAGGTGCATATTAGCATTCCTACAATAACTTGTGAAAAGCCTACTACTATTTAATGTGAACTGGTTACGCCAAACATATCAAGATAGATCTCGTTTCTTTCATAACCGTTGAACAACGACGAGGCAATGTAAATGTTTTATTCAATTCTTCTTCGTTTTTTGACATAAAATATAAGACGGAATATTGGAAACGACTACTTGTTAACCTTTATTTGATAATTATGATTTGAGCCAATATGTCATGAGGTCCGTTATGGGCTTTTGTACAGATCGATATACGTGTTTCGGCCTTGCGGCCTCGTCAGTAGGGCAGGCCCTTTGTCTTCAGCCAATCGTCTCGGGGCCCCTACATCCCCATCTAAAGAGTAGGCAACGGCAAAAGATTTACACAATCGCCGTCAAGTGAAAAATCACTAAATCGGCAATTTTTGACACTCGATTGCTCTTGGTTGGTATTGCTGAGATGTCATACCGTTTGCTCCGAGTGTCTTCTTACGATCACGCTCAAAATAATATTCCTCAATTTTATTAAGCCAGAATGTCATGTGGTCTGTCTATCTTTCGATTTGAATATTTCAAGCATTGTAGAAGTTTTTTTGCATTATGTTGTCGTTGTTTAATCGGCTCAATCAACGTCGATTATCAAAACAAATATATCTCGGCGTGCACTGCTGTTCACTTTCAACCAACTGTTGATTTTTATGAGCACTGTCAGTTGCTAAGATCAGCTACAGTGGTCCGCATATCCATCTATTCACTCTCATATCAACACTATCTTACGAACTATCCCCTTTTTGGCGTTTTTTGACTTCTAATGCGTTGCTCCTGGGTGTTTAGCATTTATTAACTCTGACTGCTTCTGGAGGAAACAAAATTTGAGCATTAGTATACAACAGTTTAGTGTGCAATACTGTCTGTTCAGTGATAATTTCACTTGGCTTACAATGTAAAATGTTCATCGTCACCTACTCTTAGTATAGGTGAATGAGCGCCCAAGAGGATTGGTCAAAGTCGAAAGAGTACGGCGCGACTGATGACAACGGGTCAAGGTTGAAAAACGTGTATCGGCTCTATAAGTCAGCCCTATATAACATGCCACATGCATGGCTCAAAAAATGATTATGTGGCATATTGAAATTTTAGCGTGGTCTCAAAAAAACACTCGTAACGAAAAGTATGATCTATTAACTTAGTAATTTTTCATAATGCTTTACTATCCTTGTTTTATCTTCTCCTTGTTTTTGATTCTTACTAGTTTTTATTTCATCTCTTCTGACACTACACTGCTTAGCTCCGAAAAAGCACTGTGTGATGTTAAAAATCTGGACTGGAAATGATTGTGCCGGTGTAAATATAGACGATTATGACGAAATAGAAGTTGAAAATGAAAATTAAATTCCTATTACTTTTGTTTTTGCTCGTTTTAACTGGAAAAAATACAGACTTGAAAAAATCTTCCATTACCGGAAAGCGCGCGTGCTTGTATGTCATTTTTACAAAACTCCAACCGCTCTTGTACATGGAACTTTATGATGTTTGCTTTTTCCGTGTTAAAGGATCACGTACATTCACCATCAACACTTTTCTAGCTATTAGCTTGGAATGTATCAATTCGCTACTCATGCATCTACATTTTTGATAGGTCGAAAGGCATTTTGGTGCCGTACAGAGTATTTTTTTTTTGCTTAATATGGGCAATGCACGCTACTATTCAAAGAGGGCTCAAGATTCGACTAAAGTAGTGCAATTCAGCGGTGGCTGTCCTGTTGCGGCAGCAGTGAACACAGCATCGAAACATCGAAGTACCGAAGAATTTCAGATGTTAGACAACGTTTCCCATGTAAAATTGCGAGCATCTGATCAATTTATGAGGCCCATAAATTAACCAGTACATTTTAGTAAAGAAATAGGTTCGTGAGAAGATAGTAGATATCTTCATTGCCGTAAGCATTGCACAGCTCAATTTCAGCTTCCTCTTACCGCCTCTGTGATTTTTCAATAGCAAGGTACGATGTGAAATATGACTACAAGAGTGTTGAGGTACAAGAAAAACTCACAACCTCATGTTTTTGTGCGGACTTGAACAGCTGCAATGAACTTCTGGAGCACGCGCTCTTCCTAACACAATTGAGACTCCTTGTTCTATATCAGTCTCGTCAGCGGGTCATTGCTGACAATTACCGAATAGGTTAAATTTCGTTTGATATAAAAGTACAGAGAGAGAGAGAGAGAGAGAGAGAGAGAGAAAGAGCGAGAGAGAGAGAGAGAATGAGAGAGAGAGCCTCAATGGTTATGTGCGAATAGACGCTACCGCCAACGGTGCATGCAGGGTTCGAGTCCATGACACAAAAACATCAGGTTCCGAGTTTTGCTCGTACCTTAGCATTCCTGTGGTCATATTGCGCAGAACATTTTCCCACAAAAGTGTTATTTTTTACGTTAACTCTGGGTGAAATTTTCTTAAAGATCTGTTATTCATCGAGCGATTTTTAATATAACGTACTATAACGCCTAAGCTAATGTTATGAGGTTGGACATGAAAATTGTTTACAAACTGTAAAACCTATAAAACTCTATTACCTATCTGGTTAAATTTTATTCCGTTATTTCAAATTCGATTTGTTCATTTTTTATTCTTATGTTCTATTTTTTGAACTTTTATGTCGTCCTTTTTATTTCATCTTTCTATTTCTTATTCTACTCCGTTTTGCTATATCTCACTTTTTTCTTTTCTTTACATTTTCTTATACAATATTTAGTTTGTATTTCGTTCTTACCACGAAATCATGAAGCGATCATTTCTTGGTAAAAATGTCGTCTCAATTTTCTAAATTTGTTGGATTAAGTGAACTTCGGCACAAGAAACAGATGTTATTGAAACATCACTCGGAAATATAGCTATGTCGGTAGCAACGCGTGCAAATAGTTCAAGAGGCTTCGTATCAGGACATATTAGTCTAATTGAAGGTAAAGCCGCACCGTGGGTTCCGGTCAGCAGTTAACGACAACTACCTGAAGACGATATTTCAAGCTTTCAAGTTTCTCGAGAAACTAATTGGATCTGCTCAGAGACACACTTCATTGATCAGTCAGAAATCATTTATCGTCCTGAAAGTATTAGAAGTTGTGAAAGCTCAATAAGTGTCGTATACGAAGTGTACGATAACAAACGAGATCTGTCAGCGCTTCCCTATGCGGCAAAAGTAGCCGATTTCCTTTCGCATTTGGAGAAGATATTGTGATGGTGACCAGCAGGCGGATTAGTTCATCAGAATCTTTAAAATACTGGCAAAACGATCACAGGAGAGTAGCTGTTACAGAAAAGGGGAGGAGCCCGTTAGAGTATTATCGTATGAATTCAAATTTGGTCGACATAAATGTTACATAGTTTTCCCATGAGAATTTCCGTCAACACTGTAATATACCTTAAGACTTTGATGAATTATAGAACAAAAATAGAAATATACGAAAATAAATAAAATTTCTTTGGACTTTGAGTATCTATGCGGTCACATCGCACCTCGCACCGGGCGATTACCTCTCTTGAAGCTCTCATTAAGCTGATTATCTTGAGTCTCGTGTTCTAATGCATTATTTTACTCCCTTCCATCCTGGTTTATTTTCTCCTGAAAACCTCACAAATCTACTTGATTCTGGCATAAATTTCGTTTATTTTCAATTTTGATTTCCAATGGATTTGTATGCAATGGTGTCTTTTTCGTGCACATTCATCTTTTGTTCCTCCGCTTCGGTCAACGCCAATGTCAGGCGCTGAACTGGCTCAGAGGGATTTGCCGCTGGGTGTCCGCCCTCAGGCCTTTTTCCTCGTGTTCTCGCCGCCAACGCCGGTGAACCGCTCGTCGAGCCCGACGTTTCAAGTGATTTTTAATGAAAATCTTTTGTGGTGAATCTATCAATGTGCCACTTTCTGCCAGCAGCTTCTCTCAACTTTCTTCCGATCTTTATGATCTTGTCAGCAACACTCCTTAATATTTCCTTTTCGTGTCACTTTTCATTAGAAATTTCTAGAAAATAATATACTCACTGTCGTTCTGATGGTACTAAAGAATAATAAAAGCCCATTTTCTCGTTGTTTCTATAACGTCACTTCTTTTTTTTCCTTCTGATGAAATTTGACTGTAAACCCAGTATTGTAGAGTGGTGTGCGAAAACATTTGCGCCAGCTGGGATTCGAACCCAGACCTCGCTCTTTCCGAGAGCGGGTGCTGAACCGTTCCACTACCTCCGTCTGTTTCGCACACCACTCTTTCTACGCCACAACGCGTTTTCTGTCAACCTACCGTCTACGGTATGGCGTGGGCGGTCTCTATCGACATTGAACCCACTTATGCTGACGGTAATGCAACGGTTCAGCGCGCACTCCCGGAAAGAGAGATATCTGGGTTCGAATTCCAGTTGACGCATATGTTTTTGCACAGCACTCTCATTGTTGCGTTCATTGTATCATCATACCACCGCAATACGCAGTCAAATAAAATAAATTCTGATAAATTTGACTATCACCCATGGATTTCAAAAAAAGTCAAGCGGTGCCGCATAGGAAAGGCTTACATAATAAACATAGAAACTAGAAACCAGCGCAGAGTAGACACTGAGTTCGTCACTGCACAAAGTTCCTATCGTAGTACTGCATTGAAAAGTTATGACAGAGATCAGCATTCTGATTTCATTGACGACGAAAAGTTTAAAAAGAAGAGGTGCACCGTTCAAGAAAAGTTCGCGAGTTTTCTGTTGGTTTTGGATTTGCCACAGCGAGTAATTTGTGTTATACATGACATTCTTGAAGTCCAGTTTTTCAATTGCTAATGGGTGACAGTGGATTGAACCTCGTCGTCTGCGAACTCAACCCCATAATCCTCCTCTGGCTCCTCTTTCTCGTGCTACTCCTCATCCTCATTTATTTTTGATGCCTGTCAAAGGACACTGCCATTTATCATTTCGATGCATATAGCATGCAAAATAGCGACTTCTGGATGATTATTGCTTTCACACGTCCAACGTTACTCATGCTTTCTTCTCAAATGACTGAAATGTAATCACATTTCAGTCTTCTATCTCGCCATGCTTTACACCGACTATCCTACTTCCATACAGCTACGGCGCTATCTTAGAACCGATTTTATGGAATGAAGGAGTGGCAACTGGGAAAATAGAACACAAAAAACCGAGGTTCAATGATTTTTTTTCACAGTAATGCGTCAAAGTTGCATTTATATAGGTTTTGGTGATCCTGCTCTGATTTCCGTGGAAGTAAACAAAAGGCTTATCCTCCTTGTCACGTGAGAAGTGTTCTAGCTGTGTCAATTTGGGAAGTTCTAGCTCGTCAATTTGGGAATTTCATGGCACCTTTAATCAAAAAATCAAAATACAAGAGAGACGTTATTTTTGACGAAAACATTACTGTGCATTACAGTGATCATGTAATCCTTTTTACTTCTGAAATGCCAAGTGTTCAAAATTAAATTCTGTTACAACTGCAATGCCATTACTCGACTTTACCCTTTCCTTTTTATTCTAGCAATTTTCGCCCTTTCGGATGCATTCCTACTTTTTCTAATCACCGTTTCCGTTAACGTAATACTTTCTTGAGAGCAAGTATCAAAGTAAAACAGAAGTTTTAGTTGAATTTTAGTAGTTCCCAGGGTTGCTATCGTTACGCTTCATTAGACCCGGTTTTCGATGCCATTACGAGTTTAACTTTCCATCAGTTCATATTGACTTCAAGTAACGAGCTTTCAAAAAAGTGGATAACATGCAAGGTAAAATTAGGATCTCTAAATTTTTACGTAGCTTAGAAATTGTAAAACAAGGTAGTGGTGTGAAATCGAGATCTCGAATAGTGGCAATGAATAATCATCTTTTTCACCCAGAAGAAACATACAATTATAGCAATTTTCTTCATTTATCAAGCACAATTACTTCCCTCAAAAATTATTGCCAAATTTTTCCAAGGACCTTCTTTCTCTAAAATACATAAGGCGAAGACTAAAGACTTCATGATCGAATGCTCTTAGAGCACTTAAGTATCTATAAAACTATTTTCCACTTAAGACAAGCTCGCCTTGTTGGCCTGAAAGCGGTGAGAGGTTTTGAAAAATGGAAAATACCACATTATCATGAACATTGTTCGTCTGCCATCACAATGATGTTGAATTTCAGGAGCTTCACCATCAACATTCCTTCTCAGAAGAGCAGATTTTCCGAAAAACACAATGACTTCTTTAACTAGGAAAAATAAAAACAAGGAGACGAGCGTTTCTACTTCCCTCTAGAAAATATCTGCTTTTTTTTGTACGAAAATTTCTTCTCTTGTGAATACTTTAAATTTCCGAAATGAAACTTCTATTAACGAGAACAGGTGTGACGCCCTGTGAACAAAGCTTCTCTAAAGACTAATTTTGACTTTTACGCACTTGCCGTTCTGGTTGCCATTATTTCGCCATCAGAAAAACTATTTCATGCAAATAATAGGGCACCTATTATTCGGTCCAGCAATACAATGTACATTTGTGCTCCTTCAACTTGAGTCACAGAATTGCAATAATGTCGCTTGAGGAACAGAATGTAAAAGTGAAAGGCTTGTTCGTCGTGATTTTTTGTTAATCGAAGAGTAGTCTAGGGTGTCATGTTTACCTCTTGAGCAATGACTACAAGGGTAAAAGATCATCTAACTGAGTTAAGCACATGGAATTCTGAGTATTTCAATGTTTAATATGGTCTTCTTCATCTCATTACTTCCAACGGCAATCAGATGGTGAGGTGATGGTCGTTGGCTTACGCTGAGAACGACTCGACTTACCACTATTTGTGTTCAGAAATTGAGAAGATTGAAAAGAAATCCCTGAGAGAGCGCTTTGAAGAACGACATTTTTTTATTTAGATGCTCTTCAGCTTATCATCGCCCAGTCGCTCTCCCTCTGCCTGTACTCGCGCTTTCTTCATTTCATCACTGCAGTGCGTGACTGGTGCGGCACTCAATGTTCTTGGTTATTTATGACAATTCACCAGTGATCGCATGAGAAGACTCATGTGGCCGAATCAGTTATACTGCCGCCCCCACTTTTCTCCAAGTATAACTTCAGTCACGTTTCTTGGCATTTTTCTTTATTTCTACATTTCAGTTCGAAATATCAGACAAAATAGACCAGGCCATAAGCATTTTAGAATATGGAGGAAAATCAAAAGCAGCCTTTAAAACTACACAACACATGAAACCCAAAAGTTGGAGTTCATTACTTGTTTTTGTTTTTGTTTTCATTTATCTTCATTACAATTACGCTCGCCTCTTGCGAACAAGATGAAAATTATTCAAGTCAAACTACATTTCTCCACTGACTGACTAAAGTTTGATTTTCCTAGATACGGGAATAGCCTTGAACATAATTAATATAGCCCTGAACATAAAGTTGAGAGGAAGCGAGATATCTAGATTATGTGTTACATGCATGATCATAGGTGGGCTACTTCCGGAGCAAGTGCCTTAGAGGAACTATCTTGATCCACAACTCGACAAAGCCTTTGTTAAAGACTTGTGAATTATGTTCAAAGCTATTCCCGTATCCTGGGAAAATCAAACTGTCAGCATAACAATATTAAGAACTAAGCGTCATCTCCATAGAACAGATGCTGAGCAAGGAATGTAGTCGAAGATTTTTGAAATCATAAGGAAAGAGACAAGTTTTATAAGATTTTACCACATGTTATATGCACATGGCACATTTTACAGACCGATGGAAAAATGAAAACTGATCTAATGAGATGATTGAGCTAAGTTAGTTGATGCTCATGCCAGATTTTAGCTTTACCAGTAAACTTCCTACAGGAACTCAACCAGAAATCACTGAACAGTTTAGAAAGAACGTGATTTTGACTTTTGAAAGTGTGCTTTTTGAAACTGAGTACTCTTTGAGGTAAAAGCCTGTCAAATAAAACTAGGAAAGAGTTCAGCTTCTGCTTCGCATTCTTTCAACCACTTTCCTATGAAACAAAATATGGAATAAAAAAGTTTTCAGATAGAAATTTAAGAAGTCTTTTTGCTTGTGCATTTTTCCATTCATTTATGCCACTCAGTTCCACTTCTCCTTCTAACTCCACTTGTTTTCGTTTTGTTTTTGCACTTCTGTGCTGCTCCAGCAGTGCACATCTTGTAAACCCATTAGTATTCAGCGGCGAATCAGTCACCCGTTCAAGTTCTTTGGAATTCAGTGTTTTCCCTCCGAAAGGTTTATGCTTGTAGAGCACATTAGCGTACGGCGGCTTACAGACTTGACGAGTTGGTCTGTTTTCACTGTTCCTCTACTCACTTTGCCTGGTTCAACTCCTTTCCAATTTCGTTATTCTTCTCTCAAGGCTAGTAACTGTGACGAAGCACCCCATAAATTTTTCCTTTCGCTGCTCTAAGATTTTTTTCTTATCATCAAAGCTTCTCGTGGTTATTTTGCTTACAGTGATTTTCTCAAATGTCACCCTTACGAGCAACATATTTCATTACATTTCTACCTGTTATATCCAAGAAAGGTCACCAAGGATGTTGAAGAAATGAGAAAATCTGTTAGAATTCTTTCTCAGCGCTTACATACATTGCTCTCCACTTTCAGGATTTTCGATTGCCGGCACTAGGAATTGGCAACATGCCACGTTCTCTTCAGTGGTGATGCCCATCAAAGTTTACTTGGAAATCCAACAAACAAAGCACCTCACAAAGTGGACCATCGTCCAATGTTTATTTTCTGTCTTGTGTTAATAAAATGCAATCTTTCTTCACTAACATTCTTATTATTTATGTGGTAATATAAACGCTATTGATATTTCATTCTTTGAAAACTTTTTGATACACAGTTCTCATTTTCATACATCCGGCAAATGTTTTGATTCATTTGTTTTGTAAGCAGTTCAAGGTATTATGTGGGGAACTATCGTCGCAGCCCCAGGTTCCTTACTAAAACTTTCTGTGGTCCGTTTAAATTCTACGGAGGGCTTGTAGCCTGCTCGTCTTGAAATTACGTAACACATTCAGAGTTGGCGATGATTGGCAACTACATCATGTGCTGCAATTCATTCCTTCCTTTAGATACACACAAATTCTTGGAAAAATCGTCTGTTCTCCTGCAAATAAATCTACGATGTGCTCGCTAATGCTTCTTTATCTTCGTACGAGCTCAGTTGAGAGCAATAAGCTGCAACCCGCATTTGATTCAACGGAATTCGAGCGAGTGGGCAGCACATGAAT